TAACTCTGTCGCCGGCTATAACCATTGCACTCTAACACCTGCCGCAAGTGTGTCAATTCCGACTCCAGGAATTGAGAGTCGCATAGGCGAACTGCACGATTAATAAGAGTGCGTGGCACAGAAGACAGTTGTGACGGATGGTGATGTGAATCCGCTCTTATGTACCGATCCGTATGTGTCGGTTTCCTGAATACGGCATGTACCAGGCTTCCATTGGGTTACCGCTTCACAAGTACATCCAAGAATGCGAGAGTTCAGTCTTTTTCCACCTCTGTTATAAAATGTATCTTTGGATGTATATTGTTCAGGTGGTCCAATAGTTGCTAACACCCTGTCTGGAAACTATGGCAAACAAATCGTCCACGTATCTCCACCAGTATCTTGGTTTTAATGTCGCACTCTTCAACGCTTCCTCCTCGAAATGTTCCATAAATACATTGGCAACGACCGGTGCTATTGGTGAGACCATAGCCACTCCATCTATTTGAAGGGTAAATGTAAATAACTTTAACTCCGGCGTAATTCAATTAAAATAAATTTTAAACTATAGAGAAAAATCTCTAATGAATTAATCAACAAGCAGAATTCGGCGGTCGCTCATAGTTTTCGAGGAAAAAATATTTAAAACTTGTTTTTTGTACTATGAAATCCACCATTTTATTTGTTTGACTTCAAAAACTCAATACACAGTTCTGCCAACATGATAAATATAGGAAGCGGGCGACATCATACACGTATCGATATTCCGATTTTTTTTTTAATTTAATGAGTCACAGAACCGACACAGAGCGAATCCGACTCGGATAGATTAGGTTAGAACATCAACAACCTAACATCGATTTTTCTCTATTGTTTAAAATTTATTTGATTTTCCATATTCGCGTTTGCCATACTTTGCCTTGCATCGGTTAGCAATAAAATTATTAAAACTTTCGTGAGACATTATTAATGTCTCACGAAAGTTTTAATAATTTTAATAATAAGACGGGGTGCAACCGCGAACTAATCTTACTCACCCTGATGAAGGACCTCCGATGAGTCCGAAACTAGGGATGAATCTACGCCTAGAGAAGGTCACAGTTTTACTTTTGATGGAGATGGTAGGGCCACGCAGCAGCCTCGGCTGTTGCACGAATGGGCAGGCTCGTCCGGGTAAGTACCACGACCTCACGCCTCGCGTAAAGTGGAAGTATAATACTTTCGTCTGGTGAGTGAGGGGGCCAGAGCCCAATTTTCAAAGGTTGTCAACGCATCTGGAACCCTCGGGCTAGCAGATGTCCATGGGCGGCGGTATTCACTTAACATCAGGTGATCCGTCTGCTCGTTTGGCAACTTATCACATTAAAAAAAAATTGTAAGACCGTGTTCGAATAGCAAACTATTAATGTGGTTGGCAGACTGTGACAGACGTAAGGAACCATCAATGATGGAATTGTCAGTAAAATACAGGGCAAGATCTTCAGCATACTGGACGATATTAGAAAGGAAATTTACAGATCTATCTACGTCATAGGTGTAAAGACTATAAAATCGGGCTTAAGACTGATCCTTGAGGGAGCCCCTTCCAAATGGATCTGGATGGCAAGAGTTTATCCTTAGTGCGGACTAGAATACGTCTGTTTGAAAATAAGTTTGACACAAACTCTGTTATTTTCACCGGGATGTTCAGCTGTTGCATCTTGTGCCTGAGCAAAGGGAGTATAACATTATCATATGCCGCACTCACATCAAAGAAAACGGCTGTCAGGGATTTATTTTCAGAGAAGGCTAGTCTTATCTCAGAAACTAAAATACTAGGGCTATCCATGGTGCTAAATCCTTTTCTAAAGCCAAATTGGGTCCATGAGAGAATGCCTCTATTTTCCAAAATCCACTCTAGTCGATTCTTTACAAGATGTTCCATGGTTTTGCACAAGATTGATGACATTGCGATAGGTCTGTAACTTAAAGGAGAGGATGGATCCTTACCGAGTTTTAGTATAGGAATTATTATGCGAGATATCCAGTCATCAGGTATTGCCCCGGATAAAAAAACTAAATTGATTAAATTTAAAAAGTACTTCTTACAAGAAGGGCCCATGTCAGCAAGGAATGAGTACGGGATTCCATCGACACCAGGTGAGGAATCAAATCGAGAAATTTAAATGATTTAATGCTAAAATTAATTCCTCTTTCGAAAAAGGGTCATCAAATGAACCATTCATAGTGGATGGAAGAGAGGGGATAGGATTTGAGGAGGGGAATGTCTCTTCCATGGGTACCCAAGGAGGGGCCAGTCTATTGCAAAAGTCGTCTAGCCATTGAGATGTATTTGCACAGATCAGTGGAGCAGCGGAAACGCCTGATGTTTTTCCACAAAAGGGAAGGAGTGCGAGGAGACAGACTCTCACAAAAGGAGAGACAACCCTTTTTTTATCTGAGAGAAATCTTTGGCTTGAGCAGCTACTTTTTTTAAATTCAGAAAGATTTACATGGACATGTTAGAGGAGAGTTAACCGCTTAGCTGCCTTGCGTTTTTTAATAATTGAAGAGCAGTCTGCATCCAACCACACAAAAAAAATTTTATTGCTCGAAGAATTTTTCAGAGGGAAAATTTTGAAAGCTGTATAAGCATCATGGAAATTAAGAAGCATCCCAATTAGCGTTAGATAAGTTGTATTTCAAGACAGGACTTACACTTATGGATGGGACATCTTTGCGGAATATTTAAGAGGATCGGGAAGTGATCACTGCCAAAGGTAGAAGAGAGTTTTGCAGGTTACGCTAGCAGCTAGGTTAGATGAACACAGTGGTAGGTCCATGGCTGATTTAGTGTTATGGGAGGGATAGGTCATTCTTGTCGGAGAGCCATCATTGAGGAGGCAAAGGTTGAAATCGTTAAAAACTTCAATGAGTAGGTAAGAAAATGAGTCGTTTCTATGGGAACCCCACATAACATTATGGCTGTTAAAATCTCCAAGGATAATATGGAGGGGAGATACTGCTTAAAATTGAGTTGAGGTCGGGAATACAAGGAGTTGGGGCTGAGATATAGATGGATAGAATCGTAATGTCCATAACTTTTATAGCTACAGCATTCATATTCTCCTGTATAGGAGGGAGGGGAATGAGTGAAGAAGAGACGTTTCTATTTAACAGAATCAGAGTGCCGGCGTCGTCATCACTCCGATCACTGCGAATATAAGAGATGCCAGAAAATCTGATTACAGATCCAGGTTTTAACCAGGATTTCGAAATGGTAAGGATGTAAGGATGTAAGGATTATAAGTATTTACGAGACGGATAAGTTCAAATTTCTTATTCCTGATGCTCCGTCAATTCCATTGAAGGAGAGTTAGGAACGGGAACTTTATATAATTTGAAGAAGAGAAGATCTAGTTTATTTTTCACGCTAAACGGTAGAATGGTTTCATCAAATTATTATAACGTACAGAGAGCTGAGTTGGGCGCAGTTTAGTTTTAAAAACAGTTTTTCTATAAGACTAGGAAAGTGGAGTGGGATGGGACTGCGGGGATATAGACGATTGGAGTGGGGGAGAGGATAATGCAGAGATATGGGAAGAAGCAACATCGGAGTAGGGTCTTTTGACTGCTGGGAATCGAGCAGATGCCTCAAGGTGACATATTTTCTTGAGACATTACTAATTTTATTGCTTTTTGCCTAGAAAACTCAGGGCAACTTTTATCTGTCGCTGTATGGCTAGCTGAACAGAAAACACATGTAAAAGCCTCTGTGGAGCATTTGAAGCATTGTGGTTTAGTTTTACACTGGGCTTTATAACATGTCCAAAACGGCAGCAGTTTAGGCATTGGATGGTCGGAAGTAAATAGGTTTCAACGGGAATAGAGTTGTAGAAACACATGGGAAGGGAGCATTTGACCAGAGAAAGAGAGGACAATAGTTTGAGTAGGGACCCACTCCATCTCCTTTCTTAACTTTTCTGTTAAGTCTTTGGGCTATATGTCCAATTTTAACAGGTCTGATTGTAAATCCTGCTGAAGGATCAGGTTCTGTTCGGTTAAGGTGAATAACAAAGGTCACTATCGGAGTACTTTTTCTTTTCCTGGAAGTCACCATGGTCAATCTTCTTTTTTGGATAATTTGGATTGAAGATTCCTTGAGTTTCCGTTTTGCATAGCTGGGATCAACGGAAATATTCGGTGGTTCCGAATCACTTACGTCGACTTCCATCGTCAGAACTATCTACCTACATTAACATATATGATAAACTTAACAGCTATCAAGAAACTAAACACTAATTATATATGCAAGTATATTAAAAACGAACACAAGGACAATACAAGATACTTGATAAGCACAATATCGTTTTATAGGAAAGATGGCTCAAAACGTAATTTTTAAATGAAAACACGTGTGACCACCAATCACTCTGACAGCAGAAAAAACAGGTTCCCCCTAAATGTTAAGTGTGGTGCACCCCAAACATTTTTATCTACCCTAAAAATAATTTATGTGGCAAAACAATGTTTGATGAGTCAGGTAGTGAGATATATAAAATAAAGTTTATTTATTCGAAAATATGTGATAATAAAAGGACAATGCTTTTTTAATTAAATCTTTTTAGTTAGTTTATATTATATTTCATAGCATTAAAAGTTTAAGTCATTTCTTTTTATAAAAAGAAACAGTTAAGTTTAATAAAAAAAAATAACACAAAATTTATACATTTTTTGAAATTTTCCCTTTTAGGATAATAACCAACTCTTTGGTTTCAAAATATGCATTTAAATATTTCAAAATGTTTTATACAAATAGGGTATACTATGTGGACTGGATAAAATAAAATGTTTATACCTTTCTTATCAATTTCAAAATGTGGGATTTAAACTTTTTTAAACATGGTCTACTGAGCTTCATAGCATTGGTTAATTTTAGTGTACAAATAAAATATGTGCATCAGGACATGGCCGCTATACATAAGGATATAAATATTCATACAGTTTATTATAACAATTTTCTTTCAATGAAGATATAATTAGTTATTTGACTTTTGTTTGTGTTTTTTCTCCTTTTTAATCCTTTTTTTCTCCATCTTCTCCAGTTTCCTATAAAAACATATTAATTTAGGATTGTAGATTACACAAAGGAAACATTCACTAGAGACAATGAAGTCATACAAAAACACGGGGTTTTACCATTATTATAATAACACAACATATTAATTTTACAAATTGCAGCATGTAATTGCATTTAGTATAACATAAATGCATCACAATGCATTTTTGATATACAGCGTGTCTTTACCATAGCGACAATAAATTAACACACGTCTAACGCTACTTGCCAATAATCATAAAAAAAATATAAACGTTAAAAAAATTCATAATTAAAAAAAAAATTCAAACAAACTAATTAAGTAAAAAAGAAACAAAATTTGTAACATCCTATACAACTACAACTGACTGATACATTCAGAGACTTTTTCATTCGTTGCCACAGCGTCGCATTACAAGCCTCTCCTTCTAACTAATACATTTGTTTTGCAAAATTTAATAACTGTAAATATTGATGTTTAAAGAATGTAAATTTTTGATACAATTTTAAAAAGTTATCCTCAATATGTACGTTCATTTATTGTCGCGTTGGTTAGTAGATACACAGAATTGTATAACTGTAAACATTATTCTTCTTGGGGTTAAGATAAGTTATTATTGAGACTTACTTTAGTAGTTTCTTTTTTTGTTTTTTTGTCAACTGACTAATGAGATCAACTTCAGATAAAGCAGAAGTATCATCTTCTTCCATTTTTGTGGCTGCTAATGGTAATGCGCCTGGTTTCATTACTAATCCTGTATCACGCATTTGTTGCATCAAAGTGGGTACATCAGGTTTTTCTTCTTCTTCTTCTTGAGTTGAGGATGTTGCTTGCAATGCCCTTGCTTCGCTCATTGACAGTGAATACATAGAGCATTCTTTATCTAAAGATTAAAGATAAAAATACTAAGTCAAGTAATGCTAGATGCCACAGCCACAGAATATATTTCTAAATGGTTATTGACAATGATTTCAAGTATCAATATACTAACTATATGTGGGTTTAAAAAAACAGTACAATCAGAAAAATAAGTGTTAATTTAAATTTTTGTTTCTCACAAGCATCTTCAAAAATAAATATTTTGTTAGATTAAATAGTTATCTTACAGGGTCATTATTTTGTTCCATAACCATTTGCTATTAAAACTAGTTGGTGTTATTTATAAACAAATTTGAATACTGTAAAATATGCACAAATTTGAAAACTGTAATAGTACCTGTATTTATGTGACCCCATTTATGGCATTTAATGCATCTGACATTTCTAACAAGTATGCCAAATGGTTGATCACGAATTTCATTATCGCCTTTACAATAACTTTCTCTTGGTGCATTATATTTGCGTTGCCATTCAAATTTATATTCAGGTTCATTATCTTCTCGTTCTCTTTCTTTTTTTACACCAGGTGGTGGTTCATACATAAAATTTAAACTTAATTTATCTTTGCTATCCTTACTCAATAAGGCTCTGTAATTCAATATTTTAGCAAATGTTAAGTTTCGCATTGTACTTTGTAATAAGCCAATTGAATGATTTAGCAAAAAAGATATTATTATGATTTTGATCTTAAAGTGACTTTGAAATTTATCAAAAATCTGGACAGCATAAAGTATTCTATTTATAATTTTAAATATAACTGTAAATCTAATCTGTGAAACACAATTGTTTCCATACACTTGTAAATTTATTAAATTTAAAGTTTAATAATAAATTATTAATTCTGTCAAATATAATATCTTATATATTGCCTCTGACAGTGGAGGGTTTTCCCTTAAGTGCCTAATACCATTAGCAGGTGTGGAATTAAAGATCACTTGCTGCTGCCCATGACTATGTCTGCGTAGAATAGGCTGAAGGTGTAACATGCAGACAAAAAGACAGATATACGTAAAATATGTATATAAATTATAGCCTATGTCTTATTCTGATGTATAAGCTATATTATTGTAAAGTTTCATTAGAATCCATTCAGTGGTATTTGCATGAAAGAGTAACAAACATCCATCCATACATACAAATTTTCACCTTTATAATATTAGTAAGGACTAGCTGCTGCCTGTGACTATGTCTGCGTAGAATAGGCTGAAGGCGCATCATTCAGAGAGAAAGACAGATATACATAAAATATGTATATAAATTATAGCCTATGTCTTATCCTGCTGTATAAGCTATATTATTGTAAAGTTACATTAGAATCCATCCAGTGGTATTTGCATGAAAGAGTAACAAACATCCATCCTTATATATAAACTTACGCCTTTATAATATTATATATAATATATATAGATCATAAAAGACAACTTACTTCCTCCATCTAAACCTATATTAGATGTTATTATAGCATGTATTATAATGTTATAACATTATGACACATTTCAATTGCTGTAATAAGTGTTAAAAATGTTCCTTATATTGGATTTCATTAAGGCAAAAATATTTCATATGACTACTATAAATATTGTACTGTTGATGTGTTGTGGACCACATTCAGTACTTAATGGCATTGAAAAAGAGAATAACATCCCTAATTACATATTAAGTGAATATACAATATTACTTCCAAATTGATAATTTTTCTAAATCAATGTACGCCAGGTAATACTTACTTATTTTCGTGTAGTTCTTGCTCTTTTTCATATTGAACACGTAATTCCTCTTGCTTTTTTTTATATGCCTCGGTTTTTTGTTCTGCCATCCATACCTAAAAGCGTTATAAAGATTTAAAATAAATAAGAAAAATTAATATTAGATTATTCTCTCTCTCAGATAAACTTTATTTAAATAATTCTATATTAAATCATTATACACTATTTGATGTTTATTGCATGGTTGAGTGGTTTAATTAGTCTAGCAATTTGAAAAATATAGTAATATGTCACTTACTCTTTTTAAGTTGTCTCTTGATGCAGGATGAAAGAATTTCTTACACATATAATTATTGAAACCTTTACCCATCTTGAAATTACTTTACTCAATTTTAAAGCGAGCAAATATAATTTAGCAGTATTTAGAGTTATATCAAAACAAATGTTGTTGATGAGTGCTGCTTTCTTCTTCTTTTAGTATATTTCTTTTATTACTATTATTTTTCTCTCGCTAGTTGAGTAGTTGCTGACGCTGACTGCCAAAGAGAATGTAATCATAATCACTACATTTAATTCCTGCTGAGTGCTGACTGCCACAGCAGGGATGCCGGAAAAATTTCGATATATCGATATTTTTTTTAAAATATATCTTCATTTTTTGCCGATATATTTTGATCCGATATATCGATATTGAATATCGAAATCGTATCAAAAACGATATTTTTATTCAAACTGATTCAAAGCCGTAAAAGACAAAAATGAACGGAAAAAACTGTGTATTACTAGTATTGTCGCGGATGCAGAGTTGCATTTTGTACTATAATTATGGTATTTATACCCGTGGCTTCGCTCGCTTTGAAGCCCTTAAATAAATATCTTTCTTTGAAAAAAATTCAATTAAAAATTGCCTATGTATGAAAAGTCTAGCCTTTACGTCTTCTGAGGCTTTAGACTATCTGTGTACCTAATTTCTTTTAAATCGGTTCAGTAATTTTGGCGTGAAAATGAGACAGAGAGACAGTTACTTTCGCATTTATAATATTAGTATGGATTTGATGCTTTGTACTTTATACTATCCATATCTTAGGTACAACACGATATAGAGGTGTTACAAATCATTAATATTGAACTACATACTAAGTTCATTTATAAATAACAAAATATTAATGGCATCAACTAAAGTTACTTCAATTTAATATGTAAATAAAGTTAACATAAATTTTATTATAAGTAAATTCTCAAATTTATATTAAATGTCACATAATATAACATCGAGTATAATTAAAAAAATATATAAATTTAAATAAAAAACATAAGTTCAGCATTTTCATGTCAATCAAACAACTATTACTAAATTCTTTTGATCTAGGCCTGTCTTTTAGTACAAGTCTGCGGGTTTCTTTTTGACCCATTATTAACTTCGTTTAAAACAATTCTTTACGTTTTTTTTTACAAAGATACATGTTTTTTAATTAGTTATTTTTTGATTCGATTCAGGGCTAAAAAAACTGATTTATCTCACTTAATAAGCTGTTTGTTTTTTTTTTTCAATGAAGGTCTTGATAAATAACATAGCGAGAAATTTAGATTAATAAAAGAAATTTGATTAAAAAATACTATTACTTATTGTTGAATCAGACTGAACTAAATACATTATTTTTTTAAAACTGAAAATATGACCGATATATCGATATATCGATATTTTTTCCAAATAAATATATATATATCGATATATCCCGACAATCGAAATTTATTTTGGACTATCGAAATCGTGTCAATCCATGCTAATATTATAAATGCGAAAGTAATTCTGTCTGCCTGTCCCGCTTTCACGTGAAAATTATTGAACCGATTTAAATGAATTTTGGTACACAAATAATCTAGAGACTGAGAAAGGACAGAGGCTATTTTTAATTAGAAAAAAACTTTAATATATATGTATATTTTTAAGAAAGACATTTATTTAAGGGCTGCAACGCGAGCGAAGCCGCGTGCGAAAAACTAGTTTCGACATATTTTTAAGGCTACTCTGGTTTGGTGTTTAGCGTTACTGATGCGTTAACGATAATACTATAAAGATTATATGGCCTGGTAAATAGACCTTTAAGCCAATACCGTGAAAATACTAATTACTAATACTATTAAACCATCAGTGTGAGACGTATATGACCCTGCAGTTAACAAACAATTAACGATTTTCGTATCTGTTTTTTTCAACGAATCAAAATCGTCTGACTAATTAATATTTTACAATTTTATGCAATTACAAATTAAACAATAAAAAAATCAACCGTGGCACTCGGCTACTGCCACAGTAAAGCTATTGCATAGCATCTTTTATCAACTTATGCAATTATAATTATTTATATATGCAGTATTTTTTTTCTTTGATGTTTATATTTATATCAATAAATAATAATATTTTTAATAATGTAATTATTAATATATATTATAATTAATTATACATAATTTATTTATATTTTTTACAAAAATGATAAGAACTACTAAGTCAGTCACTAAGCTGTTTGGATAGTTAAATTACAATATACTAACATAATTAAACTTGTGATATCTTTAGAATTGAATGTCCGAATAATTCAAAAAGTTATATAAAGATAGTGAAATAGTCTTAAATACGAAGTAATTTATTTTTATAAGGATTAATACCAATATACAAACAAAGAGCCTTTTCTAGCGGTGGCATTTCAATCAAAATATTAAAATAAAAGAACACTTATTGTGGGCATAAGTATAATAGTTAGACATATGCTGTCGCGACACTTTTTGTAAATAATGATGTATTCTGCAAATTCGTACTACATTATTTTATTCTAGCATCAATAGTTTTCGCAGCGCACGTGATATAAAGAATATTCTAGGTAATTTTTGTACACTTTTGTTAACATAATTGAAATTTTAGTAAGGATCCCTAGTTTTTTGAAAATATAAAATAGTCTATGTCATCCGGGGATAATGTAGCTTCCCAACAGTGAAAGAAATTTTCAAATCGGTTCTGTAGTTTCGGAGCCTATTCAATGCATACAAACAATCACATCTTTCCTCTTACATGGTGGGCGGAGTGGGGGATGTTAGGTTTTATTTTCGTTACGGAATTTCTTGATTTGGTCGCCGCACTCAAAGCCTGCGATAAAAGCTATGCAATAGCTTAAAAACACCTTAAAAAGAAGCGAAATTCAAAAGTCGCCCTTAAGTATTTAATTTGTTAGACTTCTTCGGTGTCTTCAGAAAGAGTTGCTTCAGCTGTGAATCTGACAGTACCCCACATTAGAAACATCTTTTGACAGGGGAGCACATTAAACAGAGGGTACTCCTAATGTCTATATCAGATGATTATTGGTTGGAATAAATTATCTTATATTAGGTATATTTCGAAGTCGAGACTTTGTAAACCTCAGACTGGGGTCGACTAAACTTAGTCCAATTCAACCCCAAAAAGACACAAGTTTGCGCGTTAACCGCTATAAAATCCACAATTGTCATAACACCTCATTTCGAGAACACTCGTCTAACTGCTACGGCTGGTATCGGAATACTTGGCGTCGAAATCTCAAGCAACGTCCAGTTCCGCGGTCAATTGGAAGGTAAGGCCAAATTGACTTCAATGAAGCTTGGTGTGCTCAGCTAGTCGAGACAGTACTTCACGGCTAAACCTCTATAAGCCGCAAATTTGGCCCCACATGGAGTACTGTTCTCATCTCTGGGCGGAATACCCCTATTACCAGCTTCTTCCATTTGACCGCATTCAACGAAGGGCTGCTAGGGTTGTCGACGATCAAAGTCTTACCGATCAGCTTGATTCTTTGGCTCTGCGTAGAGATGTTGGATTACTTTGCATCTTCTACCGCATTTATCACGGGGAGTGTTCCGAGAAATTGTTTGGATTGATCCCGGCGGCTGAATTTCACTATCGGACATCGCGCCAGGACCAATAATTTCATCCACACCACCTCGTTGTCCGGAGTTCCACAATAGCGCAATTTTGAAGGCATTTACTGCCTCGCACAACATTTCTGTGAAACCAGCTGCCTCCGGTGATCTTTCCGAACCGTTACGACCTGGGAACCATCAAGAAAAGAGCATACTCACTCTTAAAAGGCTGGCAACGCATTTGTAAGCCCTCGGTTCTTGCAGGTATTCATGGGCGGCGGTAATTACTTATCATCGGGTGAGCCTCCTGCTCGTTTGCCCCTTTTCTCCATAAAATAAAATAGTTTTTATGACATCAAATTAAATAATAATACAATAAAATAAATAAATAAATGAATTTAATGAACTTTTTAAAATTCGTAAATAAATTTTGTTTGGATGATTTTACTTACGGAGTTTTATAAATGTAATAAAATATGAACTTTTCTCATACTTATTTTAAGTAGACAAGTCAAGCTTATGGATCCCCTACCATTGAATCGGAAGAGCAACAGGTGAATGTTGGAGTCTAATAAAAAACCCAAACTACACCTGTCTCTGTCATTTTGATCGGGGACACGAGAACACGAACACGCTATGTTCTGCGCCTTGAGCGTGACTATGACCTTCAGGCGCTACGCCACTCAATCCGGCTATATGGTGCTGTTCATGCTGGTTCTTAACACACAGTACTAGTGGCAGACATCCCAGAGATAAATTTCTGGGGTGAAGGCGCTCGTAGTCTAGCCTTCTGCAGCACGATCGCCGGTGCGGATACCAGGATTCACAGTTGCCTCCCTCAGTCTCTCCGCGGCTTCCTTCCCGGTAATGAACATCCACGCCTTTTCGCTGGACACCATAACGCAAACCATAACAGGCAGGGATAGGTAGCGCTCCACGACTACACACAGCTCTCGGCACTACGGTACATACGACTCTGTGATGGCATTACACTGTGAGATGATCCTTCCTCATCTCAAGAAACAGATACCTCCCGAAACGATCGTGCCCTGAGAGGACCTGGGTTTGGCAGCAGGTGTGGGTGCTGAGTCGCCAATGTCTAGGTGTGATTGCGAGTCGAGTTATTTGATTTGAGTAACTCGAATCAGAATTGAATAGAACTCGAGTTGAGTCGAGCTCGCCCGGCCAGGATCATTGAAAGTTCATTTTGATTTTTTGATTGACCACGTGCGACCTGACCTTTTTGTTAGTGATCTGTTGCATTTTGATTGTAATGGCACCAAATAAAAGTGTGGCGTGAGAATTATTTGCTATAAAAACAAAAACTATGTTTGTAGTATGTAGTACAATAAAGGGAATAATGACCTTACCCCTCAGACTATGCACCCAAGACGGCCACGAGTTGGTATATAAGTTAGATGATTCCGATAAAGAATTAACATGCGCGTTAGACAATTTTTTTCCACAAAAATCTTACAACGC